CTAGAACTCAACTCCATAAGCAAAAAAAATTATAGAAAATATAAACAGTTGAGAACACATCAAACTAAAAAGCTTCTGCACAGCAAAAGAGAGAGTATTAAAAAGAAGAGACACCCCAAGGAATGGGAGAAAATATTTGCACACCATACAACTGGTAGGGACTGATAGCAAGATCTATAAAAAGTTTACACAACTTGACAAAAACAAGCAGTCCAGTCAAAAACTGGGTAAGGGAAGCTAAAAAGACACTTCTCAAAAGAGGAAATACAAATGGTCAACAGGTATATGAGGAAATGTTAACCATCCCTTATAGTCAGGGAAATGCAAATCAAAACTACAGTCAGTTAACACCTCAACAGAATGGCCCATATTAAAAACAAAGCAAACAAACAAACAAAAAAAAACTGGCAACAGCAAATACTGGCAAGAAAAATGAACCCTCTTACACTGCTGGTGGAAATGCAAACTGGTCCAACTACAGTAGAAAGCTCTGTGGAGTTTCCGCAAACTACTAACAATGGAGCTACCATATGTTCCACTCCTGGGAAAATGCCCCACAAACACAAAAAGAAATCCTTACACTCCTATGTTTAACACAGCACTATTTACAATAGCTCAGCTATAGAAATAACCTAAATAGCCCCAAACAGACAAATGGATCAAGAAGATGTGGTATTTATACACAAAGAATAATACTTAGCAATCAAAAAAGATAAATGCATGCCATTTGTGGCAACATGCATGGAGTTAGGAAGGTGCATGCTAAGCAAAGGAAGTCAGAAGGAAAAGAAAAATGACTGGGTGGTCTCACTTATTGAGGGAAGATAGGGAAAGAACCAAACAAAGGATCAGGAAAAAGAAAAAAACTTGCCTAGAACTCAGGCATACAGCAGGGGAGATGCAGGAAGAGGGGTCAAAACAGGGAAGGAAGAGCATAAGGGATTATGGTAATGGTTCATTGGTGCTCTCGTCTGAGGAGAACTATGGGGACCGCACCTGAGGGGAGAAATCAAATACTGAGCAAAATGAAAAACAATGTAAGGAAATAATTAGAAAATTAATTCATTAACTGAAGACTCAAATGAAAGGCTAAAAAATAAAATAAAAATGACGCCAGGCTTAAGGTGGAACTATTCATGTTAAACTCCACCAAGAAGATTCCATAACTAACATAATTGCAGTTTTAGCTTCTCCCCAAAGTAACAGAAATGTAAACTAACCAATCTGGAGTCTCCTAGTCCACTCTAAAGAGTATTTAGCTAAGTCCTCCACCTTCCACTAAGGGAAAGTGGCTTTACAGGAAGCAATACTTGTTTATTTTTGCGATTGACCTAGTTTTACCCTCTTTGGGGCTAGAAAGAATGTCCAGTTACTTCCAGCATCTTTTTTTTTTTTTTAACTCTGAATACTTTTTTTTTTATTTTATAAGTTTATTTTTACATCATTTTGTACATTTTTTTTTCACATCTCAATTGTAATCCCCACGGGTTTCCCATCACCGAGTCACCCGTGTGCCATCACCATAATCCCGTGCACTTCCCTCCCCACCCCCCCGTTTTTTATTCCATTCCCCACTCCACCCCCGCAAAATGTCT